ATGAGTAAGAGATGTATACCACTATTGTAACGAACTTCCGTGTTCTTCAAATTTTCTATGGCATTTGCGGTCGTTGGGATCCGCTTTATTGGCATACCTCCATACATAAAAAAGAGTTGGTACATTGCACGTCATATAAATCACTATCCAAATACTCATAATGCCAAGTGTTCGCATAGGGCTTAGTGTTATCCAGCCTGATCAGTGGCACTTTCTACCAGTTAAAGAAGTCGTTCGGTTTGTTCAAAGTAGTCTGATCAGATTGACAGCATTAAGACCTCATTAAGCTTCCACGTAGCTTTAAGGTGGACACGAGTAGAATATTTCGAGAATTGGTGCATCAGTGACAACGAAAATGACATCCGGTGCTCTTCCCTATTTTGATCTGTATTATTAGTTCCTGTATCGTACTCATTCAAGTGAACGATTGACTCGCACTTGCATGTATTTGTGACGGTTGCACTCAAGGACCAGGAAACGGTCACCAATACACATGAAGCATATTCAAAAAATATAAACAAATTCAGGTAATGTTGTCGCCAAGCGCACACAATGTGAAACCTTTGAGAATGAGAAGTTTTGTATGTATTTTTGTAGAGCTGTTTGGGATGTTTCTAGAGTAAGCTGATCTGGTTCACTGGATTCGTTTCACTTCCAGGGTGGAACAAATACAACCTTACAAATAAATGGGGAATGCATGCGATTAAATTACATACAGCACAATGATGTATTTTACAATCGTATTGGTACAGCATTGATATTGAAGAGAGTATACATTGAATGTGCGTGGTAACTCCATATTCACAAGGTGCTTAGGGGTAGCCTAATGGTTATAGCGTCCGCTCGTCACGCTGCAGACCCGGGTTCAATTCTCCACATGGGGACATGTGTGAAGCTCATTTCTGGTGTCCTACGCTGTGATATTGCTGGAATATTGCTAAAAGTGGCGTAAAGTCGTACTCACTCATATTCACAAGCGTACCTGCACAGTTTCGTACAAATGCATGTCGCGGTCATTTACTTGATTGGCTAACGATTCATACGTGTGTTGATTTCTGCTATCTACATTCTCATAATATCTATTCGCATGTGTATCCTGGTAATCACTAGTAGATCCACATGCTACTTCATCGTAGGGGATGTCCTCACTCTGTCCTGTACCTCTCAAGGACAACTCTAATGCAAGGCCTTTTCCCAGTGATCTCTGTGTCTTTGCTGGCTGAACAACCTTGCTGCAATGTCAGATACATATATGTGAGTTACAATTTAACGTTACATCGGCAATATTGAAGCCATATCGTGATGAGGATTTGCATAATAAATAAAGTCGTAATAAATAAAGTCAAATTATAAAATCCTGCCAACGGAGGACGATACAATAACTAGAGGATCACAGATAAAGATATAAAAAAGTATGAAAAACTGAAAACGTTTAAGTATAGCATACAAGACAATGTAAAAACAGGCTATAGACTGCCAACAACGGAAGGCAGATCACCATACTAGGGACGTGAACGACAAAAGGCAGCGGCAGTTTCACAAAGCTGACTAATATTTGCTTAAACTAAATTCCAAATTTTGTTCATGCATTTTCTGTTCATGGAATTTTAAATATTTTAAGTGCTACTACATGACATCGATTGATCATTTACTGTTTGCTATTTCATCTCTTAAGAAGCAACTTGGAACGGGGAGTGTGTATTGAGAACTGTTGTTCCAAACAAGGCATGGTACTCACATATATATAACAAGGATGATGATGACACAAAGCAGAAGAGCTGTGATCACACCAAAGGCGATCATCCATGGTGAGACATCATCAAGTGCTATAAGAAATGAAGAAGTGTAAACTGGAATCAAGTTTTTGGTCAATTAAAGATTGTTGTTGCAATAAGTATTTCTTTCAAATACTGATGTGATATCAACATATACGTCAGTAACATGCTGTTACTGCGACGTTGATTTCACTTCAATCATTAACACCAGAGTAATATAAAGAGTAACATATTGTTTGGTCAAGCAAATGTTCCACTACATCATTTCATAAAGGAATGACCGTGGCATTTCCAGAATCATAAGATTGATCTGCTAATAATAGTTAATACAGCATGCGATCCCCATTATACGTCATGTTTGAATCATTAAAAAACAAGGATGATACCAGGTGTTATCTAAACGGTGAGCGTATCCCGTCACATAGGTGCCATCGGACACATGCAATGCCAAGTCAATTTTTATCCCGACTACAACAAAATAAGTTTATTCTTTATATTCACAGGAAGTATTGGAAGTTCAGTTATGTAAAATCACTTAATTTCACATTTAAATCTTTTGCTCCATGGATTGTATGGTTTTCATGCGAGCTAAATCTAACCAATTCGCAACAGAATGCAAGACAATGTGGGTGCTCCGAATTAATTCTTAGTATTATGTTCGTAAAAGCACTGTCTAAAAAACTGTTCATTTTCGCCATCAAATTATTACAATATGATTTTTACTCGTTCATTTAAACTGCAAGTTTCACAAAAACAAAAATGTATGTGATTATGCACACATAAAGATTATCCACAAAAGGAAACTATATATTGTAACTTCGACAGAGATGCCTCAAACTGTTCATTTTCGCAATCAAATTATTATAATATGACCTTTTACTCGTTCATTTCATCTGCAAACGTTTTATTTGTCGATTTGATTATGCACACATAAAGACTATCCACAAAAGGAAACTATATAACTACCTGTGTACACAACTTCAAATGTAAACACAGTGAGTAGTCACCTGAATGTGAATGGCCATGTTTGTCATGTACATTTCAATACAATGTGTGGAGCACATGAATGTCAAAAACCATTTGGGAAGCCCAAGTGTTTGACGTTTGTTCTTTGAAACAGTCAAACGACAAACGACAAAAGGTTATTGGGATGGTCCGAGGGGGAATATCTCAGCGTCCGGTTCCATTGCCACCGAAACACCATGCCAGCACTGTTGATACGTCATCAGAACAACAATGAAGCTGCCGATCGCAGGACGTCCACGCAGCACAATGCCAAGATAGGACAGATACGGGTTACCCATTTTTAGCACCATTACTGTGGCTTTGAGAGGAATTGCTTTGGGCCTCTTTACGTCATGGTAATTTCACAGATGTGGGCTACAGAAATCAGATTCGCGAACCAGTGGCAATTCCGTTTCAGGAACGTCATGGGCCAGAATTGACATTCCAGCATAATGATGCCCATCCTCAAACGGCTAGGATTTTCTTCAACAGCTGAATTCGGAATCCTAACGTCAGTGTCAGCGACATTAAGCAGTTTTTCTGCCTTGATCTAAGATTTCAATATCACCAATAAATTAAAGTTCGCATGGAAACTTTCATTGATGTTATAACAATGCACAGTCTCTTTGTGTGGCTAGTATATATTAATATTCATAAAATCTTCATTTATCTCAGTGTATTGTAAATATATACTGAAATCCATTAGAAATGAATCGCGGTATTATTGATCACGGAATACGCCAAACCAAAGTTTTGAACCCAAACTGTGCTTGAAGTAATCTGAATGTGTCAGATAAACGTGATGCACACAGAGAACCACGTGTATCCCTGTGTAATCACGTGACTACTATTTGCTGGAAATCACTATTTTACCTGCAGAGCGCGTGGAAAAAAACATATAGAAACATTCCTGTCATGCCGTGGCCGCCTCCGAAACTAGCACTGATGTGTTGGACGAAATAAGGAAAAGAACATAACCTAATAACGTCTATGAGTTGAACTCGCTTTGCAAAGAATATGGCGTCAGATACGGCAAGTTTTTATGAGGAGGGTAAAATTATTGATGAGACGGAGCTCGACGCAAATAGTAGGCATACCCGCTACTGACATTGATTGTGTGAAAGTTTTGAACGCGTGTGAAATTTCAAATGGACCACTGTCATTGTATGGTCAATTTATGGCTGCACTAAATCATGAATGACTGCTTTTCCTTGCGTTGACAACTTTAGTGTTAGAAGGGACAAGCTCTTTTCTTCATTTATCAGGGAGATAAAAAGTTGTATTCCGGTGATGAGTTTCTAATGGATTTCAGTATATATGTAACATCAATAGCACTTCATGTGAATTTCAACATACGTTTTGTCTTGAAGTTACCAAAAGGCTCAGTGGATGTGCATCCAGCACTGGTACACGACACAGCAACAACCCTGAAATGCAAATTGTCGAATATTGGATTGTCAAAGTCAAACAGGTCTATCTGGCGAAGACGTCTGAGTCAGACGGGTGATCTAATATCGAACAATAGTGGTCAAATAACCAGTTCGTTTCCATTAATTCATCCTTTTAAAAGTAGTAATCAAGGTGTACAGTGAGCCAGCGTTTCATAAAGAGATCTATACAGAGTGAGGGGAAACTGACAGAGTGACAGGAAGGCCTTCTACTTTACAATCGTCAGTTTTCCCTTCATGTCGAGCAATGCCAACCATGCCAGTCTTTGGTGTGTTTCACAACTATTAGGGTACAATCGAGAATGCTCTTTTTACGCGATCAAAGTTGCGAAGAATTCTCTTGGCAGACGCTCTACATTCCTATGACAGTTTGTCACATATTGTTTTAAGAAATAATGTAAAAATATACAGATTTGTTGTCTCTTTGTTTTCCTGGCCGGGAACATGATGCTTTCATAATTTTCAAAGAATGAGAATAACAAAGAACCTTCATTTTAATACAACGTGTGATAAAACAATGTATGATAAAGAGACCAAGCGTATGGTTATCACACCGAACACTCGGTTTCCAGTCCCTAGGTACATTGTGTGAAAGGCATTTTTAGTAGCATCGTAAAAATATTCCTGCAAAAATAGAAGATCCCTTGAGCAGTTCTCAATCCATCTGGAATTGGATTCTGCATACGTCAGTAAGCTTTAAACACAATGCTCAGAACACACGGCTGGTCATTTCGCTTGTTTGGCATCATGGGAAGAAAGAAACGAAGCTTACATATATGCAGTGTCTGGTTCCAGGGGCCCATTACAGAACTGGTCTTTTTCACTGTCGCAGTTTTCATCCACACCAACCAAGTAAGAAGTAAGACTCTCCCCTGAAGTCAGAAATCGACGCGCTTAGTATGTTAATGCTACTTAAATGTTCATACTCATCATTTGTAAATATCCCTGAGGGATGATATCTTGTAAGTTAATGTTACCTGGAGAAGCACTCCTCCTTCTCCTAGCTTGAAGCAGGTAGTGTTGTGGAGTTGGGCGGTAAGAACCCTTATACCCACTGTTCTTCCACTTATACCAGTTCTTCCATGTGTCCCAGTCAGTCACATTTTCAGGGTCCGTTGGTGGTGTTTCTATATGCACATAAGGAGTTTCAGTTTGGACGATATGTAAACGTGCGTAGTTTAACTACTAGGCTTGCATGAATTCGTAATACTACACCTTCCTGCAAAATAGAGAGAGTGAGTGAGTATGGTTTTACGCCGCTTTTAGCAATATTCCAGCAATATTACGGCGGGGGACCCCAGAAATTGCAAAATAGAACAAAATAAATATATACCAGAAAAACATCAAATTATATGTAAATCTCTATTTCTATTATCTTGTGACAATTTAAGGAAATATATAACGTCAGTGCGAAACAACACCCAGACTTATCTAGCCTCAGAAACAAATACCATTTGGTGTAAAGGCAAGTATAGATGTTAATATAGATGTGAAAATGATGTGAATGGATGACTGAAAATCAGTGATGACATCTGGTGTTGGCAAAAAGGGTAGAAAGAATCCACCGTTCTTTATGTCATTCATGCAACACCGCGCCAATACCTATTCTAGTCTTTCTAAACGTGGATTCAGAAATACGCACGCTCAGGCACAACACAACTACGTACACACACCTTATACTGAGGTTATGCTATTTCACACTGGATGTCATAATATAGAAGCGGGTCAGCTTATACACAAGAATCACTCCAAGACATGAGTCAAACAGATCTTTTCGCTTACCACTCGTCTTCATAACAAGAATTCCTGCTTCAACTACTTTCCCATTTGTACCGTCGAGAAGCGTCTTTGAATCAAAAGATATCACAAAGGATGTATCGGTGGCAGCTTCTGTGCTTTGTGCTGCTGTGCTGATGAATATATCCGTTGAATCTTTTTTCAGGGGTTCTGTGAACGAAGAAGCTAACAAATAATAATGTGTTGGGCATTGAAAATGATCCATAATATATTATTACATTTTTTCACATTATATAGCCTTATTTTCTGCTATATTAACACATAAGGTATTGCTTCCTATACGGTGCATCCCTGTAATATATTACGTCATTTCGTTTTCAGGCTGTAATAGTTTTTATGCAAGCAACTCTAAAACATTACTAAATGTTTTAATAATAAGGACTTACTTCCAGCAGTGGCATGGAACACCTTTGATTGTTTCGGCTTGCCTCTGTACATCGCATTAGCGGAAACCTTTTTTTTTTAACAAAAAAATTGAGAATTTTACTTTGTAAACGAAATGCTAAATTGCATGATATGGTATTCCGGAAGTAGAACAAAATGGCTTAAAAATTCTAATGTCCAACTACTAAGTTTAATTACAATGACGTTATATGCGTGCAAATGTCAAATGGAGGAAGCATACTTGTATGTCCACAGGATTTGGTTTTACGTTATTGATGACAATGTGTGATAACTGCTCCTGACCAGTACCAGAAAGCCTAGTAAACTTAGAGCCTATCCAAACTAACACTACTCCAAACTTACTCACTGCATCCAACACATAAAAGATATTAACATAACAAGCTCCTTGAAGATAAACATATGAACGCGTATTGCCTGTGAATCCCATTTTCTACTACGAGAGGCACTGGACATACCATGCAGTCACAAGATGTTTACTTCTTTTACACAACATCTCAGTTTTACCTCTTGATATAAACGTCGACGAAAACAGTCAATCTGTTTGCAGTTGTTGATCTACGAGTAGGTTTATGTGGAGATACCATTATCTTCAACAATTTCAGTATGTGGTCATGATTTGGTGGACTGAAGTCATAGTGCAGGGGCTCATGTAGCAAATATGATTCCGTGGGAAGTGCATGTTAATTTTTAGAACCACTGATAATTGTAATCAGTATTGCATATGGATTCAGAAAAAACATGGTTCCATTCTTTCTGATGATTATAAATGTCATTCTAGGGTAATTGAATATTGGTACCTATAATCGAGCTGCAACACCAATGTGAGAAAAACATATTTTTATTAACTATCACAACATAGGCATGTAGTATATCAAAATGTACCTTGTGATGGGTGTTTTTACAACTACCAATACATATCATGAATCTCAAAAATATATGTATATAAATATATATATGTAATAATTACTATGATCATAACAGCCTCTGCCAAAACCGAAGGTTTGTTGCAGAATGTATTCAACTCCCCCCAGGGCAAATCAATTAGATGTTGAAGAAATTATACTCTTAAATTATACGCAAAAGCAACATGTCATTGTAAAATTTGGTCTTATTCAGTTATTATTTCAGTTTATATCAACGAAAATAAACGGTACAGCATTGAAATTATGTAGCGCAATACATTGGTATCTCGTGCACATTTCATAAGAATGACAGTCATCATAGTCATTACTGCTGTCCACGAGGTGGCATTGACGTTACTACCGTGTAGGACCACCTCTTACTGCAAGAACTGCACACCTCCTTGACATAGATCGAATCAGTTGTTGGATGTTTTGTTTTGGAATCCTTCTCCATTCCTCCTGCAGCATGCTGAACAAATGTTAAAGGGTCAATGGAGGATTACGACGTTGATGTACACGTTTATCAATCTGATCCCACAGATAATCAATTGGTTTCCAATCAGGGACATTGTGTTGTTATTGGCCAGGTAGTCCACTGTAGCACGTGCTGTGTGAGGTCTGGCATTGTCCTGATGGTACAGCTCCCACAAGGTGAGGCACGTGAGGACAGAGAATCTGGTTGAACACTAATTCCCTTCTGCAGGTGTATGGGATGGTCCTCCACACCATGACACCATCTCCACTAAATCGGTCCACTTGCCTTATGCAGTAGGGTGCAAACAGTCATTGTTTGGTCTGTAGACACGTTGTCTTGGGTCACGTGTCTTGAGGGGATACCGTGATTCATCACTGAACCATATGTGCCTCCAGTTTCCAAGGTTGTATGGTTGCATCGTGTGACTCGCGGACGTTGATGTAATCGTGTCAGAAAGGGGGCAACTTTTGGACGTCTGGCACGCATACAATATACCTGCTTCTCGGAGATGGTTCCTGATTGTCTGGTCAGACATTCTCCATTCTTCTGCTGTGTCCCGAGCGGAACGATGCTAGTCACATAGGTGGGTTACCCGGATGTAGCGATCTTGAGCTGGTATGGTGACTCGCGGTCTTCCTGGTCTTGGATGGTCATTTGTCGCACTGGAATGCACAAAACGATCCCACAAACGAGTTACTGTGCTCGGATGAATGCTGAAGGTCCTCGTCACGACATTCTTTCATTCGCCAGCTTGTAATCGTCCAGTGGCAATATTTCGGTCGGCACTGTTGAGACATCCCATTTTCTCATCCAGTACTTTGCAAGGGTCTTGGATGATTTTGCGAGATGCATTTTATAGTCAAAGATTGTAATCATGCTTTGCACGTGAAAAGCAATAATTGCGGCTTTTGGTTGTGTTCCATAACAGTCAAGCCCATCGTGACAATCATGATCGATAAAGCCATGCAAAATCGTTTATGGTTGTATTCGCTCACGCATGTCCTTCTAAACCATACCAACAACAATATCCAACCCTGAAATCATGCTTAATTTGACATATGCGTGCAAACTTTCGATAAACTTTTTCAAATTATATTTTGCGTTTGATTATTTTATTTTATTTTTTTTATTTTTTGGGGGGGGGAAGAGTGTATGTTAAAGTACAAGTGCACAGAGGTATTTTGAAAATAATTGCAAAGTTAAGTAAATGGGGAATATGAGCAATATCTAAAAATTGATGGATGGATTTGGATGAATCTTGGTGGTATGACACAAGGGCTATCTGCATATGGTTTGTGGGAAGTACATTAAAGTACAAGTACGCAGTAGTACTTTAAAAATGTAGATTGCTGTGCAAGGTGGAGGTATGTTCTCTGACGAGGACCTTTCTAGTTTCCAAATTCAGAAAAAATACGTGTAGAATTCATGCTTTTGTTTGTATGTCAAATAATTTTGTGTATTTCAACAGGTTCTTGCAGGATAATGATGGTTTGATTGACAATGCAAGTTACTTAACAATGCTAAATCCTTGTGAAAGTTAAAATAGATCTTCTAGAACAGATTATATATTGCACTTGCATACCCCACTTGTAATATACTTCCTTTCAAAACTTTAGACTCACTTAAAACACTCACTTTATGTTATATGTGTGTGTGTGTGTGTGTGTGTGTGTGTGTGTGTGTGTGTGTGTGTGTGTGTGTGTGTGTGTGTGTGTGTGTTATATGGTTACATGGAAGATTAATTTCTCCACTAACTTGTGGGAACCAACTGCAAACCTGATGCAGATAAATTACACGAGGATCATGCATCAAATTCCTTAAAACCATCTGCAAATTTCATGCACGTGAACAGCTGCGTCTTGGTGTCAAGTTTTGTTCAGAATTCGCCAATTTTCACTGATTTGTATCATTTATTAAACTCATGACTTTAATCTTTTCAACGTTACGAAAAAAATTTCGATACATCAGTTCATGTGTAAACAGTCCTTTTAAACAGTATATAGAATATTTGCAAAATTTAGTTTAGAACAGTTGCCTGAAGTACGTGGCTATATTTACACTAGTGAGTCTAAACATTTGAACGGAGGTATATGTAGTTATCTGTTCACTCCTGTATTAATACATTCAGACTCCAGATTTGGCTTTATGTCATTTGTCATTTAATTACCCGGACACAAGTGTCAGTGTGTCAGTTCTGACTGCACCGATATGCCTGATTTGACACTTGTGCTTGACTATATGATAATCACATTAACCTTACCTGTGTACTATTATTACTACTTAAGTGTGTCATGCTAGGATATATTATGAAATGGGAGAATACATTAATTGAATAAATGGTTTCCACTGATATAGGTCAATACTTACAATGTCGATGTGCGATGAAGGAAAGACAATACTTGATTAATTTATATGATTATGCCATATCTTATGTCACTAAATTGAAATTAGAAGCATATTATATGGTTATTTCTATATTATGCATCATAAGCTACATTTTGATGGTCTACATGACTATGTTGTGATAAGTTTATGAAAATATTTTTTTCTCGAAATGGTGCCGCAAGCAATTTTGGGAACTTATATTCAATCACCCTACAATGACACTTATAGCAAATAGAAAAAATGGAACCATGGTTTTTTCCAAATCCTTACACAATAGTGATTACAAATTAGTATTGGTTCCAACAATTAACAAGTAATTCCTACGGAATTACACAAGCCCTTGCATTATCATGGCGATGCTACAGAAATGATCTCTAAAAGCTCTAAGTTAATATGAATATTGTGATTAGAACTAAGTTGTCACATCTCAACTGCTGAATTTAGAACTACTCTTCCTGAATTACGATTATGCTCCCATCAGCCTGGAATTGAGGCTTGAACATAAACGAAATAGTTCATGGATGATCAGTAGTCTTATCAAGCATGGATATTAATTGTACTGTCAAAAACATTTCCACAGAAAAAGCTAGCATGCCAGACCTATTGTTTTATGTCAGTGATGTAGACCTTGTTCCACCGCACCGAAACTCTTTCTACCAAGCGGAAATAATGATGACCCGAGATATATCCATTTAATGCGTACTTCTTACAACATGGTGTTGATCCCTTAACGTGGGACGGAACAGTCATCGAACAATGGCTAGATCACACTGAACTTTTACTTAATACTTACAGTGAATGTGTAGTCGTGTTCTGGTCGTACTGGTAAGATGGCGGTATGTGTCTTGTCACATGGATCCTCAGGTTTATAATGGCCATAAACCTTATATACTTCTCCCTGGAAATCAACGTTGTAAGTTTTTCTTCACATTTAGGGTAGTGTTACAGCTTTGTTGATGTAAAACCAATGTAAATTTCCACACATAAGTAACACAGGCCCTCGTGTCTTTGCGAGGATTAAAGATTAAAAAACATATTTTTAGATGACCCCAACTCGAAATGATTCAATGTTGTAAAGTGGAGCATTTCGTGTCGGGGGTCATGTCAAACGTTGTATATGTTTTTAAGATCTTAAATTTTCTCAAAGACAAGAGGGCCTGTGATAAATAACAGTAATAAACTATTGAAGGCGGCATAAAACTTAACAGGTCTTCTCCCTTTCACAAGGACAACCAATATTTTTGGGACTATTTATGGATAATGGAGGGAAAGAACAACACGAAGGTAAGGCAACCAGAAAAAACAAACAAGATTACCAAGGAAGTAAATGTTATATTTTTCATGGATTGTGTCCAATACGCATATTCTGTGTATACGATATGTTTTCATATGCTAAGCTTGTGATGTATGTTATATTTGAGAGGAAGGTGAGTTATCCTTATATCTTGCATAAATAACACATGCGCTTAATAGCTACCCTCTCACATTTACAAAAAAAGTCTTTAGAAACGTTTAGTAAATATGTAGGTAGATTAACGCAAGGCCTATAGTTAAGTTGTTCGTCTTGTTCTTTTTTTAAAACTGATATTATTTTGCCTGATGTCGTAGTTGGAGGAGCAAAACGTGCATGTGTCATATAAAAATGCCTTGCCTTGTCAAGACACAGTTCATCATATTATACTAATAACTACATTGTTCATGTACATCAGTCCAGAATTATCATTACTTTCAGGCTATAAATCCTTGTCTTTTATATATACAATTTCATTCTTTTGGTTACTGTTTATCTTGATAATTAAAAGATCCCAATGATTCATATGGATAATTTATGCTCAGATTCTAGCATATCAATCTGACAATATCAATATTCAAACAATATATACTTTTCATGTCCTGCTTGGTATAAGACCTTACTAAATAACATGCAGTCAATATCATTTGAGTCCTCGTAAATCTGATCACAGTCTTTTACAAGACTCAGGAGATAGAAGAGTGTGTCGTTGTTTGAATTTTGGTGAACACTGTTGTATCATACCGAATCCGAATACTGTATAGTGTAATTCCTGATAAAGCCGTTCCTTTCTGTTTCTTTCGGGCAGTCCCAGGCAAGATGAACAGCAGTAAAATTGCCAGTAATCGATAAAACTTTCAAATTCTGTACTTCACAAGGTTCTGAAAAATATTATGTAATCATAAATTTTGATTATGAACAAAAATTAAAGAACTTCATGGATACATCAAGGACTACCTGGACACATATTTACAAGACATTGACAAAAACACATTCTGGCTATGTCCTAAAGCTAATGAGATGATGATACTGCATTACAATAGCAAACCAATACTTACGAGATTCCTGGGTTATGATGTTGCTTCCTAAGTCTACGGGAAGGGAACCTCCTTTAGATGTACTGGCTACGATGCTGAACGTGTACCTCCATGAGCTCAATAGACTGTTAATGGTTGTTTTAGATGATTTGTAACCTGACAGACAGAACATTCGCATAGGTTGATTTCAGATTGGTTTAAGAAGAATGTGTCTCATTACTATTTTGCATTACTAAAAGTGACGTACAATCATGAGTTCTTTGGATTATACTCCTTTAAGCATATTTACCACTGCTGTGGACACCAAGATGGGTTCTACTCCCTGTACCTTTATAAAGACTAATGGAAACGTCATCAGCATGACGAGCTAAATTTATGACGATTGTCACTGATGGGGCAGGCACACCTATTCGCGAACACCTGATATCATCACTATGTAATAGTGACTCCTAAATAGGGTCAAAACCCTTTCCACCTTCATTTTAAATGTTTGCTAAACACGAAATCCACTGTACTTTTCCGAGTATTTCGTGAACATAGGCTTATGAATCACAACCAAAAAATACCTGGTCCAAGTGAATCACAATCAATAATAAGTGTGAGTGTATTCTGCCCCACCGGTGGCATCCGTCATAAACATATGTGAGGATAGTCAGTTGTTCTCCTGAAAAAGTTCGTTGTACACGCCTAAATAGGAAATTGCATCGAAAATCATTTTTGTTACTATGCATCAGATTTTGAAATTTCCTCCATGTGTCTACCATTAAACCTTTTGAAAGCTTTACTAGGCCATGGGTATTGAAACCGTAATGCAAAAACTGAGCAAGGTCGTATAATGCTCTCAAATCTTTGTGAAAAGAGCAAGATTGGTTATGCCTTGGTTGTCAAATAGTGAACAAGAAAGGTTTGAGCTATTGGAATTTTGCTCAACATGAAAGACATATTCATATTATTGTTGGAATCGTACAATTCCGGCAGGCACTTTCTTATGGATGTGCAAAGTGTTTTGTCGCTTTTGTCAAATACAAGCTACCACTGCCACCCACGATAATTAGTTCCCAAATAAACGAAATTTTTGTTTCACAACAAATACCTCTTTACCGTAATTCTTACCAAGAACTGTAAACACGAAACCAACTGGAAACAGGATGATGTTCTTTTCATTGTGCCATGAATCGTGATAATATAACAAGCTCTGATTTCATAGTCAGTGACAGGACGTCAAGTGATAACGAGGTAGTGACTGTAATATATCTAATTAATTATACGTGTTTACATGAAGCAAGCACCATTAGCTCGCACATTATGAAAAAGCGTGAATGGCATTAACATGCAGTTTAGACTCTTTGGATGCCAAGATGTTTTTTCTGAAACACTTTTTCATAAACTCTGAAAAGTGAAAGTTATACGATAAGTGCACATGGGCGGCACTGGATCTACCGCATATCATATATGCGCAAGGACATACACTATTAAATTTCCTTTCTTAGAGTGTAAAATCAACAGCAAGTATTAATTAGCTGGTTTGTAGAACAGACAGTCCTAGATATTTTACGAAAATGTGTTTAGTATTTAAAGAGGAAATCCCTTTACTTTCATTGTGCACCAACAAAAGTACTGTGATCGAAAAATCTGAACAACATTATATATATCACCTTTTTGCGCTCGGGCATCAACCAGACGGAAGTCAAAGAATATTTCAAAACAAGCAAATATATCATATATGTTTGGGAAAATGTGCCTTGGGAGGATAGATGGTTATCATAAAACAATATATTTATATCATGTGATCATTGACATTGTGGAAATGTGTTAGGCTGATGCGCCTTAACTATACACCTACCGTTCACAGTAACATTTCTTATGTTCTCGAACGTTGAAGAAAGTCTTCCTGTAGCCTGTTGTGGGATAATCGTGTAGTTCGTCGGTCCAGATTTGTGAGTCGGGGGAGTCCAGGTAACTTCCACCGACGATGCGTTTACCACAGATGCGGAGAGATTTCCAGGCACCGATGGAACTAGTACGTGGAAAAGTATCATTAATATAATCCAAACAGATATGACGTCACATTTTCTAGTTATCACACATGTAGCTTATCAGTGGATACAATATATTCTGCAGTTTCTTTACAAAATCGTTCCTCGGAATATTAAACGAATCCCATTTAAAAATAGCGATAGGTTTCATCTAAATCTGAACTGATTCAAACGTATTTACGTATTTACCACCAATGACTGTCTGTACTGCTAGAGACGTGTTAATCCCCATGCTGAAGTTATTGAGAGCAGCCACGGTGAAGGTGTAGTTAGTGTACGACAAAAGGGTGGTGACGTTATAGTTGGTGGGAGATGTTTCGAGTTTTTGTACAGTGACATTTCGGGATCGACGACACCTGTCATCCTCAACCTGATGATTAAAGAAGGAAGAAATCATGATAGGACACTGCTGAAAATATTACTGCTATGAACATCACTTGCACTCAAGACAATGGGAAAATAGACAGATTGTATTAATGCGCGTAGATGTGTTTGCATACTTCAGGTGCACATTGTATTTTGCATCAAAGAGATTGTACATGCACATTTGAGTCACCTAATCTTTCCATTGTCGATTTTAGGGAAATAGGTAACATGTGAACATGAAATTCGGACTATTTTGTATAATAGATAATAATATGATAATAATTCATTTATATAGCGCCTAGTATCCATCTGACTAGACGCCCACTGGAGGCTGCAATCAGAAATTGATTATTATTACCCCGGATAACCCAAGCTGCCTCTGAGGCGCTAGAAGGTTAAAAGTCACATGACATATTTCAAATTGGATTTCAAATTAGGACAACACAGTATAAAAATGGGCTATAGATCGCCAACAACTGAAGGTAGATCACCAAACCAGGGACCATGGGGACTTACATTACTTTTGCTACCTGCATGGACCCTAGTTGGATTTACATCATCCCTTCAGCTGTCAGCAATTTTTGACAATCTAGCCGTAAATTAAAAGAACATATATGCTACAATTAAAAATAACAGTAGGTTTAAATCTACCTAGAATGCTTTGGGACTTACATACCCTCTCAGGAGGACTCACCAATATTAAAACTGCATGTATGTTCAAAACATATGAATCATAATTCATCTATCAGTTCTTTAAAAAATTCGATAGCAAAATGATAATTGACATTATTAATAAGATCCTTAACAGTCTTCACTTTGAAATATTTATCCCTTGTGATGGAAAATTGAACACAGTCAAGCAGGACATGCTTGACCGTGGTTCTCTCATCACAAGGGATACAAAACGGAGGATCTTCACCTTTTAACAGGTATTTGTGAGTATAACGCGTATGGCCAATGCGTCATCGTCGCATAATGACCTTCTCAAATCTGGATTGACAATCCAAGTAGGTGTTACCAAAATATGGTTTTATTTCATGTAATTTATTGATACCTACTTGGGTGTCCCACTTCTTCTGCAGGAGATCACGGATGTAAGTTCTAATGCTAGCTTTATAATCAGAGTAAGGAATAAGAAGTGGTATCACAGATTTGTTGAGTGCTGCCTTGGCAGCAAGATCGGCCATTGTGTTCCTAGAAATACCACATATATCAAATGTGCTTCGTTGTGGGGCATGACTGAAGTCCTAGAAACTTTCAGGAGTCAAGCTGCCAAACACGGTCACCCATCCAATGAATCTCCGAGGTCAACCTTGCTAAACTTCTACTGAATTGTGACCAGGACCACACACCACCACATGATTTCTTAAGAGTGAATTGGAAGATTTAAACTTTTTCAGTCAATATTAGGGCAATTACGTTTACACATACGCATATAGTATGGTAGGAATTAAACCGTGATGTGTGAATGAAGGAACCCAAAGCTACCCTACTTCCCAAAGAAAGACTTCTTGAACGATACAGACAACACTTCAATAACTGGAAAGCATTTTACATATACGAACTTGCGTCGCACCTGGATTATAGCTTAACATGATGCCATAGCAGATCTGTAGACTTGCTTAACTTTTCTTTTCTCTGGGATATTAATGTAGTAGGACATGAAAATAACATTTAACTTTGAGTCACGAAAAGAGGGCATCGCTGACATTACTGTGACATGAAATATTTAAAGGTCGATATGCTTTGGCTGAGCATACGCCTCAGTAAAGTGGCAATGCAGACAGAGGGTAGTTAAATTCTGTACCCTGTCATGGCTGTTGATATGCCGTTTGATATACCCACTCTGAAGGTTCCATGAGACTGGCAGTCAGTACAGACAATGTACACAGCCTGCTGACACTTCCCGTCTTCTGTGTGGACATACAGGGCGTATCCCAGGATGTAGCCGTTGGGATATGTGGGAGGTTCCCAGGACAGGCTGATGGAGGTGCTGGTGGTGGACGTGCTCGTGAAATCCGATACCTTCCCTGGCGCTGTAGCAAAACCCGTATGGTGCAGTTAGATGACATGATATTGGTTTGTCATTAACAAACAGAACTTCACATGTACATTCATTTCAAGAGAAGAAGGGTACTAGTATTGAATAACCATTTTTGCCAAGTCGGTTCTTCTGTTTTATTTAGACAATCGAATGACAGTGTTTCTAATTTCTATTACCGCGTATGCATCAGTTGTATATACGTGTATCCTAAATGGAGTACATATGTTAAGTTCTGCATCTGACTGATTGAAATGTCAGAAACACACTTACTCCCAGTTTTTGCGAAATAATGTTCAGTTGTCTCACTGCCTGGAAACGAATCATGAGCCACAACCTGTAATTGAAAGAAGGCAAAGTGTTCCGCTCACTAGACATGTAAATGGAACAATTTCTCGAACTATAGGCTCTCGACTTAACTGAACATTTTTTTTATTCTCGGTGCAATATGAACACATCTTACACGGTCCTTTACATATGTATATTTGATACAGCAATTATCAAGTGAGCCAACACTTAGGTACTGTTGTGTGGACTACGATTCATGAAAGCACTAGTTCAGTCAAGTAATCACGTCAGATATGTAGTGACTCACTAAAGTTTATAGCTTTAACGAGTAACTGGAGGACATTCCCAACTCACCGAAAACTTGTAGTTTGTTTGTGGTATCACGGATACAACCTGTGAGTAGTTACAGTTCGACTCAGGTTCAGCTGAAATGCTCAATCCTTTGGGATTTTTTGTCACATTGTGGTGATTTTCTACCTGTTAACGTACAAAGAGTACATATAGTTTACAATACATATGTAGTGAATATCTATTTCATTCATAAATCTTTCCCAAGATGTTTATATTTATATGAACATACATGCTTAAGCTGAAAGAACTTATACATCATTCGTATTCTTTTTCATATCAAATTAATATGAAATGTTTCTTTGCACCTTGATATTTAAAGAGAGAATTATATCTGAGCAGCCATAACATATACCTCAGCTTCAAACGACAGTGTGTAATATTTTATGTCGCCATGTCTGTCTGTTTCCTTGGGACAAGAGAACAAGACTTCCACACTCGCAAAATTGCCTGGAATCGGCTCGATGCGAAGATTTTCAACCTTTCCAGGAGCTATGATTGAAACATACTCTTTATTAGTAACATAAAAGTAACGGTGTCGATTTTACTATTACAAACGTATGATTATATCACAGCCAAGTGTTAATGAATTACCATCGGTGTGTGCTGAAAATATACTTAAGATGGACCGGTGCGTTTAAGGTTATGAATTACAAAAGTGGTGTCCAATAGTATTTTTATATAGGTTTCTATACTAACAAGCGGTGTATATTAGGAACTGCAAGATATGGTTGTTACTTTTTAGCTTGATGAGGGAAGACCTACCGAAGGGGCGCGCGCCGTAGATGTTTATCATTTTAGTGAAACCCACCAGCTCATCTGTTATAAGATGCACGTTGACTCGGAATACATTGTTACTCCTTCATCAGGTTAATAATGCTAAGATATAGACATCTCTGTATATATAAGGACAACGACATTAATAAGGTAATAAGTTTAGACACAAAATACCCGTGAAGATCAGGGTTAGAATTGGTCTTCAGTGACCCATCCTTGTTGTTAGAGGCTCGCTGACTTGGTTGACACATCAAATATTTACAGACTGATGCCAAAAACCTGCAATAATGCTGAGTGCGGAGTAATCCTAAACTCACTCACTCACTAGACACTTAATAAGTGAAGGCAGTAATTGATTCATACTGATTGGTAATAGCGATGGACAAATTCAGGTCAGGTGTTATTATTAGGTGCTGATAGGTAATAGTATTGGAAATGAACAAAAGGAATACACCTTTGTTCGCTTTTTACTTCATACCTGACTCTTTAGTCCGGACAGTTTCATTCACAGACAAGACACTTGAGTTTCCAACTGGAGTAGCTGCTGTGATGTTGAAGGTGTACTTCCAGTAACTCAGGAGACTCTCAACCAGAACAGATGTGTTATAGAACCCTGAAGATAACGAAGTCAGATGTGTTGTAGTTTCATGGAAATTATGGAAACATGAATTATATATAGCAGTAAGTATTAATTGTGATGCATGCTACATTTACATATTGGCTACAAGCTGCTCCATTAGAAATGTGAAGGAAGAAAATGAAGAATATTTACACAACTTGTTTGTCAAAAAAATACTGGCATGAGGGCCAATGTCTCGTCTCTGATGAAAATATATGGTTACGGGAATCGATAGGTAACACAATTTGGAATCCGGTGCCTCTTGTTAATGGACAGCAACATAACAGCATTAAAGATAATCCACATTATCAAGATAATCTCGGGACAGACGTGCAGCTGCCGAGATACCCTCGTAGTTGATTTGCTTGCGTAATTGATAATGAACCATTATCTGTCAGTATCTTGGCCCTGCTGCAAATGCTTATTGTCAGCTATAGACTACACATCACGGTTGTATCCCATAACCCCTACATGCCACTACCCCTACAGCCCAGTACCCCTACAATTAGTTAAAACAACACACGGCATTTACCTGTCTGGCATAATGAACTGACCCAAAGAGAGATTAGTGCATAGAGTATACAGAGGAGATCAAGGGAGGGATTAAACTGTTCTTTAGTGTTTTGTGTCAAGGAAATTTGGGATTAGCTAAAAGTTGTTTTAGTTTCATGATGAAATATAAACCTCTAGTGAGTAGAACAATTTTACAAATTGGATAATGTGTAGGTTGTTAAATGTTGAAATTAAGTTGTTTTAGTGCCATGATAAAAGATACACAGTATTATTGAGAAGTGGAGGGAAATGAGAAGGTGAGACGAGAAAGTAAATTGAGATAGTTCGGTATAGTATATAGCTGTTGACAACAAACTAACCTGGCATCAACATGGCTGGTCTGCGTAATGTTGAGTTTGTTATGTCACGGAGAGGTAGCCCCCAAGTCCTACTTGACGGTTATCTTCACACTAAGAATGTCGAGAGACAGTCTTGTGAACACTGGAAGTGTGTTCAGTCAACATGCAGAGGGAAAGGCACAACTGTTGGCAATGTTGTAAGGAATACGACAGAACATAATCACCCACCAGAGGATAGTCAGAAGGTCCGGTTTGTCAGCAACCTGAGGAAGAGAGCCAGGGAGGAGTCAACACAGATGCGCACCATCTACAACGATGAGCTCACCAACCTGACCAATGATGAGACACGCACGATGCCATCCTTTCCATCCATGTGCAGCGCCCTGTACCGCCACCGCCAAAAGACGATTCCTGTTTTACCACAGACGAGATCAGAAGTCGACCTTTAAGATCCCTGGACGCAGACAACAGGGTCGACCATTCCTCCTGTTTGCTGACGGCGATGATGACAAGATCCTGGCATTTGGCACCCAAGAGAGTATTCAGGCCTTGCAGTCAGCCGAGAACATCTACATGGATGGAACATTCACTGCCTGCCCTGCACTATGGAATCAAGTCTACATCATACATGCCAGACGTGGGACCACCACATATCCCCTCATCTTCGCCTTACTTCCCGACCGCCAGACGACGACCTACTCCAGACTCTTCAGACTCCTCAAGGATGAAGTTCAACGGAGACTCAACAGGCCGCTTGTCCCATCCTGTATCCAGACAGACTTCGAGTTAGCAGCAATCCATGCCTTAGAGACTGAATTTCCAACTGCTGTCGTGAAGGGTTGTTTCTTCCATTTCTGTCAAGCCATTTGGAGGAAGGTTCAGGATCTTGGACTGGCTGTTGCCTACAAAGAAAACCCCGAAGTCACCAAGTGGATCAGGAGAGCAGCTGGGCTACCTCTACTCCCTCAAGACACGGTCCAGGACACGTGGGTAGAAGCCATGGACGACACTCCAGACGTCCCAAGAGCAGTCGACTTCAACGATTACATCGTGACAACCTGGGTCGACGACACAGCCAGATTTCTACTTCCCCTGTGGAATCACAACCTGACAACTGGGCCGAGGACAAACAACAATCTAGAAGGTTTTCACAACCGACTGAACCGTGAAATTCCACACAGTCACACAAGTCATTAGGAGAATTGAACATGCTGAGAGGGTGAAGATTTCACAAATAGACTTTGGTGCTGCGACAAGAAGCAGAAAGCGAGTCTTCAGGGAGATTGACAATCGCCTGTGTAGACTCTAGGAGCAGCTTGAGCTTGGACAGAAACCACCTCTTCAGTTCTTGGACGCGGTCGGTTATCTGCTTAAGCTGGGATAGATTGAAACACTGAATGTTCATAGACTGAAACACTTGACACAAATGAGTATGTTAACATTGAATGTTAACAATTAATTGTTAATGTCCATCAAAGAATCATGATGACGAATCATTGTTAATTCTTATTAAAATCTTGATGATGACAAATGATGATCACTTTTCATTAAAATCATTCTCTCAACCTTTTAGCTGTGTGTTGTTATGTCTCTTAAGTGGATTAGTCCATTGTGTGGAATAGGTAACAGGCAGTGGATTAACAGTGCAACAGACCGTAAACTATGTTGTTATAAGCTGTAGGTAGTGGCATGCAGGGGTAATGGGGGGTTACCCACATCACCTATCCTTTGCTTTTCCATGAACGTACCAAGCCTGTTTCACTTTACTCTACTCTTTCAATTCCGTATCAGGGGCGGTGAGGTAGCCAAGTGGTTAAAGCGCTCGCTCGTCACGATTAAGATCCCGGTTCGTTTCCCCACATGGTGCAGCGTGTGAATCCAATTTACCGTGTTCCTCGCAGTGATATTGCTGGAATATTGCTAAAACTAAAACTCACCCACTCACTCACTCAACTCAATCCGGCATCAACGACAAGTTTACATGTGCAGTGGTCTGTTATCAATGTAGAAATGTTAGTTAATGTAGTAATAGTATTTTGAAGAAACGGTGTAAATTTGTTTTTTTCCAAATACGTCCTCATTAAAACTCAAAGACATACCGCTGACACTGACAACCATTTTCTCTTGGAAGATGTCTGAGGTTAAATTGGCTGCTTCCCCAACTGTAATGTAGTAGGTGGTCGGTCCGTCCTGGTGATCAGCGTGGGTCCAGAACAGGGTCCCACTGGAAGAGCTGTTGACTGAGCTAAAATCAATCACAGTGGTCAGGTTGATATTTCTACTGATTCTGCGATTCTTCATGAAAGCGCAATGTGTCTAGACATTCCAACTGATTCTGCGAACATGGAGTGGTGGTCCCATTAATTGAAATAATCGAAGATAGGTCGCAATGACTATACGACCAACCAATCGATCATGTCTTCTCATAATCGAATACAACGTGACAAACAACTTTGGAAGTTATGGAACACTTGTTTGCATTTTTTTTTAAAATTCACCAGGTTGGTTTTGTCTGTTTCATAAGCACTACAAGCACGTTCCAAGTCATGATTAGCACTACAAGCACGCATGAGCAGTATATCGCAACTACCCTATAGTTTCATGAATACCGCCGTTTATCATTTCAAGCAGAGTAGGATTTATACTACGTAAGAGAGACAGACTATTCAGGTGGTTCTGATACAGGGATTACAGTTAAAACATACTCCAAGGTCTCTTTGATATTTCAACTGATTGTTCGAATATTGATGAACCAATTAATGGGTCTTCACGTTTCTGGTGATTATTTGAATTATGATGAACCAGCCATCAGCTTTTTCATCTGAAGGTTTCACGAAATATAATACATTGAGGTAAGCGTGCCTCTTGTGCATCTCATACTATACCTACTAAGTTTGGACATTTTGCTCCTTCCACCTCCGTGATTTCTATACAATGCGACAGCATCTTACTGTAAAAACACACGTACACTAGTTCCAGTTCTCTGGAACTAGACACCCCATTTGACCAATAAGAATCTGTCTAATTCAGAGCCTTGATTGAATAACATTAACATCATCACACGTACCAGTCATGTTCGTTTGAACAGTGGTGTTCTTTTCCTCCCCTGCTCCGTTTATATTGAAACAAGATATAACTATTGTATAGTCGGTGTAGGACTGCAAGGCTGTAATATTGTAGTCGTATTGCCCATTTCCATCATGGTTGACAACAGCACCACTCGTTTTACAGCTGTGCTTTTTCTGTGACTTTAAATAACACATATATCCACATTGTAGCACGCAAAAGCTTTGCTTACATATAACATAGTAAATTTCCTCTATAACGTGAAAACATATACATATATATATATTCACAGAGCGAATCGTAATTATGTTTATACAGTATACAGGTCTTTACACTTTTGTTCACTTCTTAAGAAACGTTTCATATCATTGTACTCTCACCTACCTCAAGCTGTCCACACGTTACATTTATAACTCGGCTACCGTTGCCGTCTGATGTTACATTGATCAGATACCCGAGGATGTTGCCATTTGGAAGTGACGGTCTAGCCCATTGTATTGTGATGGAATCTGCTGTTGTATCCAATACATCCAAACTAGCACGGGACCGGACTCTATGGAAACGGATATATTCATGTCATGTGCAAACAAAATACTTCATTATCATGTTGAGAAGTTTTATGACGTTTGAGTACATTTAAACATCAGTTGATTTTTCACTTAGAAAATAATGATCACAATAGATGTAAATGCTTAGACGTGACGTCCGAGGTCTGAAACAGTTTGATGTACCTCCGGTGTGTGTGGTATAACTCGTGGTAGAAGTGTTTCCATCGTATGTGTTGAATGCTTGTACCTGTAATCAAATCACGTCGAGTTTATCTCTAAACCTGTGATGAGGAAGTTAGGGGGGGAACGACATGTACACAATTACCGTATTGTGATGCACAATTTTTTTAATTTCATATAATGTCAGATGCAAGCATAGGATTATAAAGTACAGTTGTTCCAAAAGTACCTTTCAGTTCAACTAGTGGTGTCCTAATATACTGTCATCAGTGAATATGTTTGCTGGAGCAGTCTACGTTTTATGTGAGTGTAAACACATCAAAGTTGACATTGATTATTCACATAAGAATGTGCAAAGATGAGTCTTCAGTGGATATAAAAACAGTACGCGTTTGCACATCTTATGTGAACAGTTTGCCCTTACTCACCGAAAACATGTAGTTTACTTGAGCTGTCACGGATACCACCAGTGAGTAGGTACATTTGGAATCAGGTTGAGCTGAAATCATTAACCCTTGGGGATTTTCTGTCACGTTTGTTGTATATTTCTCCTGTCAAAAAACAAACAAAGCAAACCTGTGAGTAGTTAAAGTCGGACTCAAAATCAGCTGGAATGTTTAAATACTTGGGGAATGTGTACCACGCTGTTGTTATATTTCTCCTCTGAGAAGAACAACAAAATAATACTAGTAACTCACAAAGCAAATAATTCAGCACTTAAAAGTCATTTCATTCATAACATGTTATGTGTGACATGTTCAATCCTTGGGGGATTTGCAGTCATTGCTGTGATACATTTTTTAAATCAAACCAAATAATGCCACACATTGCATACAATGTTCAATGCACATGCACTGAATATCCGTTTCATTCTTGCGTTTTTGTCGGATGTGCGGCAACGCATTATCCGTTAAGGGAGGTTAAAGTAAACAAAATGCAATTACACCTTATTTCTACACTAACAGATTATTAAAGAAAGTGTAATTATACCTTTGCAATAAGGAGACATACCTTAGCTTCATATGACAGTTTGTCAAAATAAACAGTAGTAGAAGTAATGGGGGTATGAGATCACCTTCAAGAAAGGTCGCTGTAAAGCTTTATTTCACAAAAAAGCTTTTGTCAGACCCTTAGATCTAACCCACCATTGCCTACTACTGTTTGAATCCCCAGTTAACTTCCCGGCCACGTGTGGCAGTACTGTGCCGCACGTGGCACTATATCACGTTGATCTCAGCAAAACAGTTTAATGTGAATCGCCTATGATCTCTTTGGTGTTTGTAATAAAGGCTTGCTGGGCTTTTCGTACTCCCTGTTCTATGTACTTTTTTTTCTCGTCTTCGCTGATAGCAGACTTACGAGACTTGGATCGAATCTCTTGTTTCATTTTGTTATATTTTGTGAGTTCAGAGAGGATCAAACGAAACTCCTCCTCTGAGATCTTGTTGTCAGTGAGTGCCGCTGAAATACGGTCGCTTACCGTGTTCAGCTTTGCTTCGGCCAGAACCCTGATTTCATCGTGTTTCAATGCCTTACGATGCAATCTGCGTGATGCAAACTTAAGCACCAACTCTAACACCCCTGCCACTCCAGCTGTTATTTCAATGCCTAGCACTATAGGTGCAGCCACGATGGTAGCTAACAACCCAACACCTGCCGCCCCTAGTCCCATGCTGGTTGTCATAAGGGCAGTATCAGTCCCGTTCACGGCATTGAAAGCTCTATGGTACTTCTTATATAGTGCTTTCCGAGTGTCACGGTCTTGTTCTAGTTGGCGTTTTACATCACATAACTGTCTCAAGCGGAACCCGTCTACGGTTTTCAGGGTCTTCGCTACTTCCTCTACGACTGGGTATAGCCCCATCCTGTGTGCATATAATATATCTTATTAGATATTTTTTAATTGGGCTTTTGTTAATAGCCGATTAATGTACTTGAGGCTCATAAGGTGTAGATCCGGGTGTACGAAGATACTGGAAACGATAATAGGTAACTTTTTGGCTATACCAGCCCCCGGCAGGTCTATCGAGGGGAGCAGTAATCTCCGTTGGTCCCCCAATTGTATGACGATACGCCAACGTGTGGGGACTCTTAGGGTGTCATCCCAATATACTGTCACCCCAGGTAAAAGGCGCAGGCCTGAATCCCTAACAACACCCCCAAGCATGACTTCTATGATGAGTGTGGAGCCTGGTACCATATATACTAAGGTATCGGACTTCAACTCTGACTCCACGGGTGCCATTAACAGGTTGCCCGGGTGGTGGTGGTTTTGGCGAGCTAGCACCTCTCCATCACTCAGGAAAGACGTGAGGGTGAAGCCGGTGTTTTTAATTTCGGTGACATGCCCCTCTTCATTTAAAGAGATGTAAGGTGAGGTGAGGATTATGTTGATCTGCCATTTGGGTTCTTTAAAGGATGCCAGAGGCTGCCGTACGTAGACGCCGTCTCTTAATAGCAGGATGTACTAGGCGTCTTCCTTGCCGGGCAGATCGAACCCCTGTGTGCCTACTAGATCGTTAAGTGTGACGTCTGCCCGCCTATACACGTTACCTTTCAAGTGTAGGGCATACAAGGCGCCTTCCTCGCCGGGCTGATCAAACCCCCTCCGTGTCCCCTAGGTCGTTAAGCGTGGCGTTGGGTCGGTGCCTAGTCATTGCTATAATACTATTACGATATAGTTTCAAACTGTTTTTCTGATAATAGTTCAGGGGCGCACTTCAACCCCATGAAGTGTATGTTGTCGGGTAGGAAGATCTTGGTGAGTGATATCGTGTCTTCCATGGCCACGATGACCCCCTGCAGACTGGTGTGGGAATCGACACCCACCCGCACGTAAACAGTTCAAACCTGATACTGGTGCCGTTTCGCCCACCCGAGTTTGACCCCCTTCACGATTTCAACTTCATCCTGCGATGGTTCCCCTAGGTAGACTTTGATGATCAGAGTGGCGTTCTCCGGTAGGCTCGCCAGGACGTTGACCACGCCAGCGAATTCAGACACTAACTGCAATGTCACGTCTTGCACTCCCGGTTTACTCGATAGCATGTGGGCTGCCATACTGGCGACTGGACTGATGACTACCCTACGCCTCTGAGCCGGGACGTAAGCCACGAGCAGGGTTCCGTTGTTCATGACTTTGTTTAGGTAGTTGTCTTTTGTTATCCGTGAACACGTAGGGGGGAGCCAAGCCTAATATTGAGAAACCAGTCGCCTTTAGCGGGTAACAACACCCACTTGTCATCTTCGGTGAAGACGAGCGTATATGGCTTGTTTCGGGCGACGGTAGTGCTCTCAACATCTTCTAAGTCGAACAGTTTGACCCCGAACGATGGGTATACTATCCATTTATCATCACCGGTGTTGACTAGGGCGTACCGAGTGTTGACGACCGCTCTTGAGGTATCCACTATATCACCTAGGGCTCCACAGGAGGGGACTTCAACACGTTTGTAAATGTTGTTTTTCAGTTGCAAGGCGTACAATTTACCATCTACTCCGGGGTCGTCGAAACCGCGTGTGTCCCCGAGGTCGGAGATCCCCGCATTGATGCACTTTTTCAACCTCATCCCGGGGCCTTGTGTGCTGGTAATTTTATGTGAATCATTTTGCTGAGGTATCCTATATTCACCGGGTTATGATTTATATCTAACACCGATATTATCAGCTCAGGGATGTTGCCCCGGGTTAACCTCTTATACTGCCGCGGCGAAAACGAGTCGGTTCTACCGTCTTTGTATTTCTCCGTTTTCACCGGTACGTCTCTCAGTATCGTGGAAGGGTGCCCACCTTGAATGTTGTCCGTTGTGCTCACCTGACCGAGATGAATGCACAGCTCTCGGTACAGTACTAGGTCGGGTAACTTCGTGCCTGTGACGGTAGTCGTTGGTTTTATCTCGTCAGGCGACATACCTAGTGTCCTCGCCAATGGTCGACCAAGCCTCAAGGAGTTTCTTCCGTTGTTGATTAACACCACTGTGCCGTTTGAGTCGTTCATCTTGAGTTCGGCTCCCAGGGGCTTGAAGACCTCATCGCTTAGAGAACACACGCTGTAGTAGCCGTCAGTTATCTGGCTGCGAGCTCCACTGAGGAACAGCTTGTTGTTGTTGACGTTGATGTTAGTCCATTGCGGTAGGTCGGTGATCTCGCAGAGTGCGACTTCGAGTTGACCCGATGTGTTATCGATCGCGTGCATCAGATGAACGGCCTCGCCGCTCGTTATTCCTGGAAGTGTTATGTACATGTTAGAGTATATATGCTCATTATTTAATAGTTTTAAAATGTACTCCCAAGGCGTGTTTTACTCCCCTGGAGTGTTTTACCCTAAACTGGACATAGGTTTCCCACACAAGATCGTGGTCGCTGATGGGCTGTATTTCGACGCCCAGTTTATAGATGTGTTCGACCGGTATAAGCTTTCGTGACTAACGTCAAGGCAGTCCACGCTTGGTTCAACAACCCCATGCAGTTCTGGCAGAATCAACTCGACTTCGCCGTGAGGTGCGCTACAACGGGGTGTGGTGTGACATTGACCGACACTCGGCGTGGACCACTGAGTCAGTCTGTGTTCACGTTCCACGTGTACTACCAGATCAGACATATCCTCAATGAGATCAGCGCCCTGCTCCAACAGGACAAGGCGTGGAACGCAGTAAACAACCAGTACGATAGACGGGCCTACGAACGTATTTGCAACGAATTCGAACTAAACCAAAAGACGGATTGGCGTTTGCCAGGACCGAACCACGGGTTGGGTATCCCAATCATTCACAACATGCCCCTCGTGGATGCCAGCGAGAAGATGAAAGAATGGGGGTACAAGTCGTATCATTTGGTTAAAAATTCCTTAGCCGCTACGTAGACCAAACCCGCAATGGCGACGATGGCTGCCCACAGGTTTTGACCAAGCCATGTGGCAGTTTTAGCCAGAGCTCTCAGCAGCCACGAGACGATGCTACCCAGGATGCCGGGCAGGGCTTCGGCGGCCTTACCAGCCAGTTTAGCCAGGGCCTCCCCAAGGGATTTCAGGTGTTTTTTTATCCAGTCTTTGACGCCCCAACCACTTGGCGGTGTTGGGGGTGTGGGGGTACCCCCACTCAGTGACACCACCAGGGTTGATATGATGAAGCCCAATGCAGTCAGAATACTGGCGATGGTGATCCCTTGCTCCCGGAACAGGATTCGGATCCTATCAGCTAGCATGGTGTCCTGGTAGAGGACTAGATCAACGGTTTCCCGAGCACGGCTGATCTGGGATCGAAGCTGGTCTCAGAAGGAGGATGCCATTTCCAGCCGGGTCTTCCTTTCCTCTTCCAAATTACTTATTCGTTTCTTGATGGTGGCTTTCAGAGACTCGTCCTCCGTTTCACCGAGTTTGACCTTTTCATGGGTGATGTGGTCGTCTATCGCGTCCAGTTTGGCCGTGTTGTTCACGAGATGTCAGCGAATGGTTTGCATGGCCTTGTCCAGCCCCCGCAGTTCCCGAACAGTAAATTCGAACCGGGGTAAGGGTTTGTTATGGTAGGTGGCCAACAGCTTTTCAATGTTATCAGCCACGGCTTGATCCGATGTGGCGCCCCTGACGTCTTGCAGATCTTGAACGGCCCCCGGGGGAAGCTTAGGCCGTGCGCCACCATCATCTATGAAGCCTAGTTCATCGCGGA